CTGTCCTAACAACACCAATGTAAGTTGTGGTTAGGACGAAGCACCTAGGTATTAATGTGTAATTTAAGAGGAATCTTTCCGTTTTCACAAATATTCTCGCTACAAATGAGTGGAGGATCGAAGATTGTTCAACATTTTGTATGAACTGGCCACATGTTACTACATTACGACGAGAGTTTCTGGAGCAATTATCTATATTCAAAATACATTATAATGCTAACGATTTCTCAATGCTGCATGGGTGCATTATGGGTACAAGCTAAATTCCGCATTTTGATATTGTAATATTATATTATGTTAACTGTACTGCTTGTGATAATAAACCTATTTTGCTAACACATAATAACACAATTACCCACGGTATTGGTTCAGAAAGCCAGCCCTTTATCCGTAACCATTGGTATATAGTACTTAAGGTCACCACTTACTACTTGCTGACATTCATATTTTCTATAGCAATATATACGATTTGCGGGGGCAATGATCAAACCTAAGTTTACTGTATTTATATATTAGTTGTTGTTGATTTAATAGTTGGCTCACAACGTATATCTTTATATAGCTGGATTGCTATTTGAACTTTAAAATCTGTTATGCAGTGACAAATAATAGATTATTAGAAACCCAGCGGAGTGTATGAACTGTGCCAAAAATTAAAAAGCTGAAAGCACACCTGGGTAACGGGAACGTGTCAACTGATTCGTGCAGATCTGTTCAGTGGGCCAACAATAATTGGTACAGAAAGCTCTTGCTGGTTGAGTACTTGCTAGTTAACTCTCCTTGCTCTGATACACACAGTTTGCCAATACCTTTAAAGTTCGTTATTATTATCTGATATCTGGAGTATAACAGGTCCAAGCCTTTAGATTTCGCGGTCAGAGACGTGGTTTTGGACTCGTATTTCGACCCCTTGTGGAATCAATCTGGTTAGTTAGTTCCCGCCACGTTGTGATGGTCGTTGCAATTAAAAAGATTGTGTCTCGTTATTTTAGATTTCATAGTTGTCTCTCACTGTACTTTTTTTTAATTTAAAAGCCTATCACTGAACTTTGAAGTCTGTGTTATGTAGTGACAAATAGTAGATCGGAATGAAATCTAACGTGATGATATAAAATCCGGGACTTTGTGGAGGTCAGTGCAAATAATAAGATTGTCTCGTTATTTTAGATTTTATAATCGTCTTTCAATGTCCATTTTTAGTTTAATAGCTGAATCACTGAACTTCGAAGTCCGTGTTATGAAGTGACAAACAATATGTCGTAATGGAATGAAAACCGCCACGTAATGTTGGTCGCTGCACTTGAAAAGATTCGATCTCGTTCTTGAAGATTTTATAGTCACCTTTCAATGAAGATAAATTTATTAAAGCTGAACCACTGTTTGAACTTTGAATTTCGTGTTATGTAGTGACGAACAGTAGATCGCAATGAAATAGAATCCGCCACGCTGTGGTGGTTGGTGCACTCAACAAAGGTTCTGTCCCGTGATATATGCCCCTCTTCATTCTGGGCGAGTCTGATACGGCCTACATACAAATTCATGAGCCCGATTTACTATGCTATACCTACAACAACCAGACACATTCGGCACAGTCCAACTCGAAAGAGCGAAGATTACCCAACATACTTACCCGCCATACTATAGTATAGCCGTCGCGGTACTGTGATGCTCTTTCGAAAACTTTCAGGGCAAAACATGAGTCATTGTTCAGAAGGCAAGGTACTCAATTCAATGTATATATTGTTCTTTACTGCAGAATCTATGTGTTCAAGATTCTGTATCTTTTAAACGTCATCTCACACTTATAATCCGACGTGATAGCCGACGAATTCTGCATAATATCATCGTGTGATTGCGACTACTATAAAAGAGTCTTTGCGGTCTGCTTGTAATATAATCTCTACTCCCGATTTCATCAATCTAGCCTCACTATATTACCCCGTAGGGAGATCCCACAGGAGTGTGATGCCCATCCCTTCATCAGGGCATAGCTAATCCGTTGAAGGATTGTGCTATTGTGGCAGCCGTACAACTACCTGTTTTGTTCATGCTCACTATCACCACTTCATACACTATATCTGTGGCCTCTAGCAATCTGTTCTAGTACCATACACAGCACACGGGTACAATGTTTTAGACGTACAGATGTCTTCTGATTTTCCCAAAGGATGGTAGCTCATGCTTTTCTTAATACACGCTATGGGGCCAACAACAGCTCCGCATGTAATGACATGGTAGCTTACAGGTATCGTACATGGACATACACATCACCGACCGACCCGCTGCAAAGCAACACGCATAGAATTACCAATACATAATTGTGGCAGTTTAATATGTGCATGTATGTGTGTATTCTGAGAAACTTGTGTTTACGAATGGTTGAGAATGAAATTATATTGGTCAAAGTAGTGTAATAGCTTGCAAGATTATGAAGACTGATCATCTCATAACACTAACTTATATACCCATGCTTGATAATTTAGTCTACCATCAGTCTCTTCTGGATACTGATACAGAATATCTATGTATCCGCTAGTTTGCAATCTCCTCTGTAGACCGTCCCTGGCCAAATACTATTTGACACTACTTTGCAACTAACGCCACTATTTGACACTACTTTGCAACTAACGCCACTATTTGACACTACTTTGTAATTAACGCCAATATTTGACATTACTTTACAACCATTCATCACTCAGTTCAATTGGTACATATGTCATCACTCAGTTCAATTGGTACATATGTACCAATAACGGGCACGCATAAAGCCCATATTACACGACACACAACATTGACATTCCGACACATAACTAACCCTCATACATCTGAGCATTCATTGCTCACACACAGTCCTAAATGTCTCATCGTTACCCGTGGACCACACACAAGTTACAATATATAAGATATATACATACGTACATACATCTATACACGTACATACATCTATACATACACACACACACATATATATATAACACATTTACTACTATATATATATATATATATAGAGTGATATATATTTCCATTTAGATAGATAGATATATATATATATATGAACATATATACATGTGCCTAGAAGAAGAAGCCAAACTAAGTGTGAATGCCTCCAACCACACTTAGTACTCGAGTCCTCGTGGGTCAAACAAGTAGAACTACATCAAACTACACCAAGAAAGCATGTGCCTCTACACTACATTCGCTGTCGTGTCTTCCCCTCATCTTCGTTCTCCAATATACGATCCCAAAAGGTGACTGTTAAAGCCCCAACTACTTTTGGATTGCTTACAGATCAACGAGGTGAACCACATGAGGACGTCGGAGAAAACATGCACCCGCCCACACAATGTATCCTACCATTAAGTATGTGTCTTTTATTACTTTCACATAGTCTTTGATTTCTGGGTTGCTCGATACATGTAACCTTGCATGTTCCAAAACACCCCAGTCGGAATAAGACTAAAAAACAGACTGAAAAACCAAGAGAGAAAGACGTATCGCTTCATCTCAAACTTGACTACCCATGTGAGCCTGGAGGTGTGCTCATCAACCGCCTCCACAGTCCAGTATTCCGCGAAGGATTTAAACCAATCAAATGACGCTCTCTTAAAATAGAACGATACTGACTCGTTGTGCTGCATGCCGATAAACTGTTCCTCGCCTTTCACTGGGCCTAGTTGCACCGTACGTCTGGCTTGAGGTCCTACAGTCCAAAGTGCAATGTATTAGTACAACTGCTTTGGGGGTGTACAGTGTTCAGTTATCCAGTAAAACTGATTCAGTGATATGATGGGGTTTGGGGGTACACTTCGCACAACAAACGAACACAGTATAACAAAGTCATCACATGCGCATGTACAGCGACAAACGAAAGCTCCCACATGTACGAGTGCACAGCAGGTTAACAACGTGCATGTGCACATACAGGAGACTGGTCAAGGAACGGACACCTCAATGCTTTACGATAGCAAACTTCTTGCATTCAATCATATGCTGGATCAGAGCATACATACCGGACGTACTGCTCGTGAACGATTATATGGTTGCCAAGTGTTAAAAAAACATACACTTGAGCGCCAGTATTGATGTTACGGCTGCGGACATGCTCAACTTTAATAATCAATTACTACTCATCAAGAAACACGCATACGCACACGCATATATATATATATATATATATATACACACATATATATTAAAATACGCAAGGGTGAATATATTAGAGCGTAGATACTTCTCTAGCATATAAACAAGTGTGACAACCTATAGAGACAATTGTAGGTTGACAATTAGAAGCAATACATACGCTCAAAAACCTAAATATATTTTCAGGAAACAGACATATGCAAATACATATGATAGTTATTGCATATATATATATATATATCCTATAAATATATATATATATATATACTACTAATATATATATATATATACATATATATATATATATATATATATATATATATAGACACGCACACGCACCCACCTATATACACATATGTATATACAACAGACAAATAGATATCTATATATATATATATACATATATACATATGTGGATATATTTGAATACATATTAATTTACACACACATACACACGTACAGATATATATATATATATACGTTGTCTTTTCAATTTTTTGCCCGAATTGACAAGTGCATACTATTATTAGGGACGAGAAAAGCGCCCATGCAAAATGCAAATACGAACATGTACGTCGAGTCAAACAAATGGATAAGTATTACAAGGGAAGAATCGTCGGAATATAGATTTACGGTCTAAGACATGATATTATAGTGCACACATGTACGATCACTTGTAAAGATACCTGGAAGCCAAATACAGAACTTTCATTCGTGGAATGAGAGGATACAGAAGAATTAGGTATGTCTGATCCGCACTGAAAATGTTAATGTCATAAATACCTATACGCGTATATGTACACATAACCATAACCATATATCATACATACAAATACACAAATACTACGGATATGCAAGCAAGCAATGAACTCAGGCACTGTCAGGCTTATGCGTCAATCATATAAGTATCAACGGACGATAGGGGTTGGGCCAATACTGAACACCCCTTGCAATCACCGCTGTGTGCATGTGATCTCTTATCATAGCAATAGACTGTACCACAGATGGGACTCAAGGGATCACTCATGGGGTAAAGTAAGCCGCATTCAATGAGGCACGTTGGTGATGAGGCTACAGTGTAATCTTGGTAACTCCAGAGACATGCCTCTAGGTCCATAAGGTGAGGTACAGCGTAACCTTGTCAACACCAGAGACATGCCTTTAGGTCCATAAGGCGCGGTGAATGTATTGCGAGAATAGTTTTGGTATCACCACAGACTCCGTCTTTTTTTATTGGTCAAACAAGGAATTTTTACAGAGATTCGAACTTGACATCGACATCAAAACGGACAACATTGAAAAAATACATGTATGTATACACAAACATATACATATATATATATATACATCTATACATCTATATATACATATACATACACACACACACACATATATATATATATATACAGATATATATGTATATATTTATTTATATGTATATATATATAATATATATAAATATATATATATATATATACCATATACATGTGTACACACACACACACACATATATATATATATATATATATATATATATATATATATATATATATATATATATATATATATATATATATATATATATATATATATATATATATATATATATATACCGGACATAGCTAAAGTTCGACAACGTGCGTTGAATATGTATATATACAAAAGACAACACATATCAAAACATGCATACCTATAGGGGTGAGCCAAACAACATCTAGATTCAGTCCAGCCTTAGCAAACTCGGGAGTGGGCATATGCTCAAATAGCTTTTCTCTGGAGCAGTTGAACAGCGCAGAGTTAGGGCCCACGGTGCATACATTTCTGCTTGTCTCATCGATCGGATGCCACGTGTACGGTAAAGCTTCATCCGGGTCGGCAGGAACACTGGTATATGCGTTTATAACATCAGCGATGTAAGTGGGGATGTACTTGGATACGGTTTTGTAAGTTGGAATACTCGCCTGAATGCGATAGTTCAGGGCTGCCATGTCCGGTGCGTATTGTGTGAGTCGCACAGGCAGATATTGATTCATGGTCTTGGTGATACTTTGGGTCAAGTTTTCAGGCATATACTGCGACATGGCGCTATGTATGTATTTCGTCATAAACTTAGGGTATGCACAAAACTGAAGCTTGTAGGATATACTATACTGTGTGCGACTATCCAAGCACGTGAGTGTTCCAGTGGTGAAGTAGTGGATGCACTAATATTAAAGCAAATACGATACAAGTATGACACTAAATTACACTACTCACTAGTAGTAGCCGTTAATTGTTCTTAGTCGTACAATCTAAGCAGTATTTACACTAGTGTATGCAATTTTTGATCATTTTTCAAACAAGCACTGTCATCATGTGATCATAGCCTTCTAATGGTATCACCATGTGATGTGATACGAGTTTGCGCGTGAGGCATCTCTACTCACTCTCCCTCTGTGTAGAGAGAGTAGTAACTCTACTGAGTATTGTAGAGAGAGAAACCCCTTTGACTTTCCCATAGTTCATTTTTTAAAAATAAACATATTTCTTGGAATATGTTGTGTATTCAAATATCGAATGCCATCCAATTGTAACTCATGTTTTGAAATCTGATATTTAAAATTGACCAATAAAATTCACGAGTAGCTTTCACTCAATAGATTTCAGGTTTTCACTTTTTTCTTGTGGCCTTTCACTTTTCAGTCTTTCACCTGTGGCTAATAGTCAGTCGTCAGTCGAAGAACTTCGCTATGACTTGTTTTAAAAAAAAAGCAACAAAAAAAAAACTACTTTGGCAGTTTGAGACTTCGAGTTCTCACTTATCAGAGTCACTCACTCTGCATATTTTAAAATATACAGACAAGACTCGAGCTATTTATAATTTTATAATAATTTTTCTTCTTTGTTTTTTAAGAACTGGACATTTTTTTACTTTGCATCGTAAAACGTTATGAGGATAGGCTATGGGACTAAGCTCAATCCGTTAATGGTATACAGCCTTTAATTCTCAGTCGCGAATACTATTTACGTTTCTGTACAACCTTTATGTGCGAGGCCGTGATTACATGGGCCCTCCTGGATTCGCCAATCGACACTGCAGCCCATGTCAAGGGTTGCCCAGCGATTCTTTCCCTTCTTGCACACAGCTTGTTAGTAAGTGGCATATGGAGGCTCCTACGTCTGCTCGTGACAGACACTGTCATAGTCGCACAAAGCTTGTTAGTGAGTGGCATACATTCTGACTAATGAAAGGGCTGCTGCATGTTTTCGGAGAGGAGTTGGTAACAGGAACGGGCCGATCCAATGCACAGTTGTTCGCTCAGCTGCTAATCTGACTGATGAGCATGTATCAGTGTGTGACATCCATCCATCAATCCAGCACCAACCAAGGCGCGGGTCGTGTTGCTTCAGTGAGCCCTACTACTATTGCCCTTCCATCGCGCACACTTACGTATCAACTGATCCTACCAAAACATTCGATTGCCATGACAACAGGCCCGCACCTGGGACGGCCCTGTCCCGAAAACACGCCGTTTCGGGGCAGTAAACAGTTGCACAACAGGCCATGTGCCTAGCAACGGGGTTGAATAGGGTAGGTAAATAACTCATCACATGGGCGCTCGTCTGCCTCAGCCAATTCATCAATCCCCACGACCACATGTGCACAACTGGCCATGTGTGTAGTAACGGGGTTTTTAGGGTTTTGGTAACATCGTGCAGGGTTTAGCCACCCCACTTAGCACCACCGACTGCCATGATCTACACATACGCCTCAGGGTGGCATGTACACCACCCGCAGGTGCATATGCATGGGCAGGGTAGGTGAGGGTATGTGGTAGGTATGACTTAAAGTAAGCCCAAGGTAACCGATACATTTCACAGTTATATGCCTACCAATTGACATGGCATTGCAGTTGTGAGAAAGGTGGTGTCATGTGTTGTTTTGTGTTGTGTGTTATGTGTGTCATGTGTTGTTGTGTGTGTCTTAGGGTGGCATGTATACCATACGCTGGTGCTGATCCACGAGTAGGTGGTGTACTGTGGTGTTGTTTGCCTTGAGTGTCTCTACCAATAGTAAGGTGCCGTCGTGGCTATGCACATGTGATCGCTCGACAAACGGCACACGGCCATAGACCGCACAGCAGTCAAACGGACGAGAGGCCACCCACACCTCTTTCCTGCGGAAGTGACGGGCACGGGGAGTGTTGGGTTTAGGGTTTAGGGTTTTTAGGGTCTGTGTGAGAGGAGGTAGGCGAGTTGAGCTGAGTATTGGGGGTGAGGGGAGGAGGATATTTATGTTCCGAATGGTAGAATAAGTGTGGGTAGGGTATTGCAACCTAACATGAATAGTTGTATCTGCAGGTGTGGTATTGTATGTAATTGTCATATAAGTTTACTTATATTTGTGGGTGTCTTATGTATATGTAAATGTCATATGAATAGACAGATAAACTTGTATTTGTAGGGTTATATGACACTGTATGTCATATACTGTGGTTATATGACACTGTATGGCATATACTGTGACCATATGACACTGTGTGTCATATACTGTGACCATATGACACTGTATGTCATATACTGTGGTT